AAAAGCAGCTTTCAGTTTGGGGATGACTAATGTGGAGAACATGTCTGAACCACCCCACATAAAGTCATCTACATGACATGCAAGTACTCCTGTCACTTTACAGAGATCGTCTAGCCAGTAGAAGACAGCCGGATCAACTTTTGACACTGTGCCCCCCAGTTTCTGCATGGTTTCTTTCACCTTGTTGTACCAGAATAATGAAGCATCTGCCAGGCCATAAACACATTTGTTCAACTTCCATATAGTTCCTTTGCCCTGTGCTTCTTCAGGTGGTCGGATGTACACGTCTCGGGTTAAATCTTTACCTTGCAGAAAAGCTGCTTTAATGTCCATGGAGTTCAGTTTCCATTGATTTAGACATATTACTGCTATGACCATCTTCAGGGACTCGGAGGAACATGTTGGTGAGTCTTTAGAAAGTTCCTGCGTGTTTAGCTCTTCAAAGCCTCTTGCAACCAGTCTAGCTTTGGGTATAATGCCCCCTGGTGTTTCCTTGAGTGTGCATATCCACCTTGTTGATATACATTTCTGACCTTTTTCTTTCTCCACTTCAAACACATTGTTTCTTTTCCAGTTATCAAGTTCAGTTTGTTTGGCTTGTGAGAAAATGTCTTCCTTCACCACTAATATTTCGTCTCTGTTTTTATCTGTGCACGACTTGGCATCTTCAGATAGTGTCACTTGAAGGTTGTTTACTTGCTCCACATTAATGGAACCCATGGATCCAGCAATTTCCTCTGGCTCACTATATTCCACGTTGTACCACTGTCTGTTTTTTCCAGTGGTTTTTCCTGCTCGACTGATTATTTTTCCAGCATATGTTTGACCTGTCTCTTTGTCTGTGTATTTAATTATTTGTCCAACTTTAAGTTTTGATCCTTCTATATCCGTGGTTGAGTGAGACAGTGTGGGATCTCTTTCTCCAGGTTGTATTGGATCAGAGGACTCGCTGTTTTCTGCAGTACTGGGCAGTTCATCTTCTGTATTGCCAATTGGTTCACCATTAGTTGGTGCCATCTCCCCATGTTCATTTTCAAAATCGTGTTCCTTACCAAGTACTGCTGCTGGGATCTTTAAAAAATTTTCATCTGTTTTGCTCTGATTTTCCTCTTCGGTTTCTGCCATGCTCAGCTGTGGTTCATCCACTTTTCTGAGCCTAGACTGGTGTACTCTGACATAGGTTCCTCCATGCCTGACAAATATTACTACACCATCTTGGCCAATGACCACCCCTGGACCTTTCCACTCATGACAGTCCGTCCTTTTGTAATAGACTTTGTCCCCCGTTTCATATTTGTCATCAATGGATCGCAGCTGTTTGCGAAGGGCTCTTCGTATCCTCTCAGAGCATTCAGCCTCTGTAAAAGCTCGTCTCATGGCATGCAACGTTGTAGTGTGCTGGGCTATCCATGTACTCATTTCAGTTTCCAGAGCTGGGGGTCTGTCAGTAAGGACTGAAGGCAGATTTGGATTTTGTCCAAAGACAAGTTGGTAGGGACTGTAGCCATGTACATTGTGCATACAGTTTTTCGCCATCAAAGCCCAGTCCAGAGCAGTTTTCCAGTCACACTCATTGTCTCTTTTTACCTTCAGTAACATTTCAGTAAGAATTTGATTGTGCCTTTCAAGCAAGCCATTGCTCCACGGACTGTACCCTGCAGTGGTTTTAACCTCAATGTTAAATTTCTCCGCCATGTCTCTTATTTCTACATTATTAAATTCACCGCCATTGTCACTGAATAGTTTGCATGGTGGACCGTGGATGCTTATCCAGCAGTGGATAAAGTGCTTCACTATCTCCCTAGGTCTTTTTGTGGTGATGATACTTCCTGCACTGAATCTTGTGAAATGGTCAATGGCATGTAGATACCACAGTCCCGGCTCAAGCTCATGCAGGTCCACTGCAACAGTTTCATTGTATGTTGAAGCCCTGGGTAAACCTACTGCAGGCTTATGTTTTGGTTTACCGTATCGGATGCATGTTTCACAGTTTTTTATAATATTCCTCAGGATTGTAATGCTTTCCTCATCACTATTGCCTGAGCAAGACAGAAGCTTTTGCAGTCTGTCAACTGATGCATGTCCAAATTGTTTGTGTAGTTTAAGAAGGACTGTCTCTTTATCTTTTGTTGTCATGTTTTCTGTCACAATGAGAATTTCATCTTCATCAGTAGGTGTCTCACTTCTCTCTAGCTGTTTTTTATTAAGGTTGCTCTCATTTCTCAAGTTTACACAATAGTGTCCCGAAGATGTCAGTTCAAGTTTTACAGGTTGATCAAACATTGTTGCTTTGTCTTGAGCAATATCCAAGACTGCACTTGCTCTCTTTAATGAGGTCTTGCTTAAAAGCATCGGTATATCTGCTGGAACAACTTCTGTTTCTATCTTGCATCTAGTCTGTCCTATTTTTGCTGGAATTGTCACTTTCCTTGTGGATTGCACAATTTTTCCATCACCAAAGCGGAATGGCCTTGTGCTCTTTTCATCTTTCATTTTTTTCAACTCTTTCTGAGGTAACTCACTTATATAATCTGCAAGCCATTTTTCTCCACACACAGTTCTTGTACAAGCAGTGTCAATTACGGCAGACCCCAAAGCTTCCATCATGAATATTTGTGTATCAGAGGGTGATTCGTTTGAAAACAGAGTAATATTACATTCTTCAACATCACTCTTTAATCCCTCAGCTTTTGCTAACTTCACATGTTCTGTTTTGTTAGGGCAATCTTTTACCCAGTGATAAGTGCTTTGGCATACTGCACATCTTGTTCTCCTCCCATACTTGTCAAGCGGATTAGTCCCTGCAGCTGTTCTTTGGGGTTGCGCTGAGTTTGAATTACGTTCACGCTTGCCTGTGTACTTTGTGAAGTAAGCGGAATCGCTCTCTTGTGGCGAAGAGACGTTATCGCCGAAAATCCTTTTCAAGGCTGATTTCATGTTATCAAAAGAGATGGTGGAACAAGCGGTAAGTGCTAGCTGTTTGTCTTTAGTATTTAGCCCCGCGGTGTCTAGCAGCTTAAATGCTAACACTGCATCTGGTAATTCCATTTTGAACTTACGTATCTTGTTGTACCGTCGTTCAAATTCGATAATGTAATCCACCATCGACGTGCCACTTTGTCTGTTGATCCGATCAAATTCCGTGTAAGCTTCGTACTGTCGATCTTTTTCTTCTTTTAAAAACACAGAGTCCAGTTTGTTTAGAAGAACATCCATCCCCGTATCCGTGTTGAGGTCGTGGGCTGCGATTTCCAGTGCGCTTTCCCTCGCTCTTCCCGATAGCGATAAAGTAATCGCTAGAGCCTGCCTTTTTTTGTCCAAGTCCGTAACGAGTCTCCAGATTTCAATTTCATTTTTCCAACTTTCAAAAGACGTCTTCTCATCGAACGATGGCGGCACTTTGTAATTCCCAGCAGCAGCCATCCTCTGCTACCAATGTTAGACCAATAATCACACAACTGTTATGATAACTTCAACTTTAATCGTCCCCCACTCTCGTTCACACACTCCCGATTCCCGAACTCCTCCGTCCCCTTCCCGCCCGCGCGTAGCCAAGCCCCCCCTTCCCTGTACACTTGCGCAGTNGTAATTCTCTATACAGCACCTAATGTATAGTTCTGTTTCAGTGCTGTTTCCTCTATTTGCATTTCTAGTTTTTTATTTTTTCCCTTTATGCTATGCAGTGCTGTAAACCAGTCTTGTTTTTTCTTTTCTGTATCGCAATGACATGGTCTGTCAACAACTTACAGTACATACAGTAATGATATATGCACTAGGACTGGTTTGAGAAACACTGGTCACAGATTGATAACAAGAGACTGAGACTGTGCTGAGCTTGTCTGGGGGAGATGATTAGCAAATACTCTCACAGTGTCTCAGCACTCTGTACAAAGAACTTCATTACTCTGTATCTGTTCCTATTTATCTAATTGTTCTATTTATCTAATTTGGTATGTAATTGTTATCATTTTAACTGGCTGTCAAGCAGTAAATTAATTAATATCATGTAAGTGCAGGTTAGAATGCCTTTTCACTATTACTTAAATTCCCGTTTGAACAGCCAATCA